ATGTGTGTGTGTGTGTGTGTGTGTGCGTTCGTCTCTGTGAGTGTGTGTGTGTCTCTCTCTCTCTCTCTGAGTGTGTGTTGTTACTCTGTAGGAGATGCCAGTTCCATCAAACCACTAATTCATGGTCTCTCGTCTGCGGCCGACTCTGAAGTGAAGCGTCTGACACTGATTAGAAACTGCTTCTTTCTCACAACAATCTTTAATCATCGACATAAATCAACAACGAGATGGAACTCAGCCCCGTCCTCTCGCTGCAGCTGGAGTCTGTTCATTGCTATTCACCCACTGTCCCATATTCTGTTTCATGGCGTGATGATGGGACCTCTGAGCCAAGACCCTCTATAGTCCTGGGTCTACAGCCTCAGTCCACACACACACATGTACACACACACACACACACGTACACACACACACACACAGACACACATACAGACACACATACAGACACAGACACACACACAGACACACACACACACACACACACACACACAGACACAGACACACACAGACACAGACACAGACACACACACACACACACACACAGACACACACATACATACACACACACACACGTCCACACACACACACGTACACATACACACACACACACAAACACACACACACACACACACACACACACACACACACACACACACACACACACACACAAACACACACACGTTGCCATCTCAATGTTAGATGTAAAAATGATTATGCATAAAATCACTGTCAATGATTGTTATCAATAAAAACTGGAGTCAGAGATTCTTCCAAACTCTTCGATACTGATGGATTGTGGGAGTGTGGCTCTTCCTCGCTGCTCTCCTCGTCTTCACGCGGTCCGACTGCTTGGTCTTGTTTGTCTGTCTCCTCTCTCCGCCGTCTGACAACTCACGCTGACTGACCGTGGCGTGCGGCGGCGGCGTTCAAAGACGATCAAACCCTGACTACGATAAACATCACGTGTGTTTTACTTCCACTTGAGTCCGAACTGCGTCGACAGATCCACGAGGATTAGACCCATTTAAGGAGAAATCAGACTGATGCTGGCAGCGGGTCTTCGGTTCAACTCTGTGCGTTTGTGTCTGGGCCTAAATCATTCTTTACCAGGACTTTGAAAAGTTTTCAATTTGCCAACGACAAAGATCAGAGAATCAGACTGTTTGTGAGTGTGTTTACATGTCCCTGTGAGTCTACTGCATCTGCAAGGGACCACTCAGTCTGAGGAGCACAGGGACGGGCCTCCTGCTAAGACTCTGAGGAGCACAGGGACTGGCCTCCTGCTGAGACTCTGAGGAGCACAGGGACTGGCCTCCTGCTGGGACTCTGAGGAGCACAGGGACGGGCCTCCTGCTAAGACTCTGAGGAGCACAGGGACTGGCCTCCTGCTGAGACTCTGAGGAGCACAGGGACTGACCTCCTGCGAAGACTCTGAGGAGCACAGGGACTGACCTCCTGCTAAGACTCTGAGGAGCACAGGGACTGACCTCCTGCTAAGACTCTGAGGAGCACAGGGACTGACCTCCTGCTAAGACTCTGAGGACCACAGGGACTGACCTCCTGCTAAGACTCTGAGGAGCACAGGGACTGGCCCCCTGCTAAGACTCTGAGGAGCACAGGGACTGACCTCCTGCTAAGACTCTGAGGAGCACAGGGACTGGCCTCCTGCTGGGACTCTGAGGAGCACAGGGACTGGCCTCCTGCTGGGACTCTGAGGAGCACAGGGACTGGCCTCCTGCTGGGACTCTGAGGAGCACAGGGACTGGCCTCCTGCTGGGACTCTGAGGAGCACAGGGACTGACCTCCTGCTAAGACTCTGAGGAGCACAGGGACTGACCTCCTGCTAAGACTCTGAGGAGCACAGGGACTGGCCTCCTGCTGGTCCCAGAGTCAGGACTAAACATAGAGAGGCAGCGTTTCAGATTCATACTGCTAAAATCTTCCTGAAAATGTGAGACAGGCTTCTTCTCTGACAATGTTCAAATCCAGGTCAAAAACGTTGTGTTTATCGGTGCAATACGTGAAGGATTTCATATTTTGAATACTAACGGCTTATAAAACAAGCGAGGTTTGTACAAAAAGGCCAAAGTCTGATATTTCTCTGCACAGACCGAGCAAGCGAGGTTAATACATGTTTTATTATATGACTATTTTTCATAATAGTGATAATATCGATCGGTTTCAACTAAAAACACATTTGACCAAACTGTCAAACTGTAACATGGAGAACTTATCGATGATTGAGGCGCCCGCTGTCAGTTCTCAGTCTGTGTCTTTACCGATGCTTTTTACATATTTGTGAAGTTCATGTTCCACTTGGTTTTCCTGATCCTGTTTTTACCTTTCTGATCTGTAACGAAAGTTGTCAATCTCTTCTTGACTGTCAGGAGTTGTGTTTTCGTTGTTATTTGCATGCTGCTAAAATCTGGAACAGTCTTCCTGAAGATGTGAGACAGGCCTCTCTGACAATGTTTAAAACCAGGTTAAAGACAGTTCTGTTTAGCTGTGCATACAACTGAGGGATTTTATATTTTTATCTTTCTTTTTAATGTTCTGTGATTATTTATGATTTTAATGCTTTCTTGTTTTGTTCAGCACTTTGAGTTGCCTTGTGTATGAATTGTGCTATATAAATAAACTTGCCTTGCCTATTTGCTGTTATTACTTCCTCTGGCTCTTCCAACTCGTCCTGATGATAGAATTCACTGAGAATGCTCCCAGTCGTCGCTCATCATTTCTTTTTTACCGAGGAAAGATATCAAATCTGATACGCGCTGCGGACCGATCGCCATGGTAACGGTCCCGAGATGGGAAACTATCAGACTTATAAAACAAGCAAGGTCTGTACAAAAAGGCCAAAGTCTTATATTTCTCTGTACAGACTGAGCAAGCGAGGTTAATACATGTTTTATTATATGACTGTTTTTCATTTGTGCAAATATCGATCGGTTTCAACTAAAATCAGCCAATCAGAGCGCGCGAATCATATATTGATTTATTATCATATAATAATAAACTGTGATTATCAATGATTTAAATGCCTTTTTCCAATGCCTTGTCTTGCTCTTGTGTATGAACTGTGCTAGACCATTAAACGTGCCTCGCTACAGTCCGGAGAGGTGTGTGTTCAACAATTGTGAGTGCGGCGTTTAGAAACCGTAGAGACAGACAAATATGAGAACAAAACCGATCTTTATTCAACACCAGCGTTTTTAGAAGGTTGGGACTTGCACATATATATTGTTGAAAGCCTACAAGAAAAGTTATTTAAATATTTATAATATATCTTTACAAATGTCCATGTCGGAAAGAGAGAGAGCCCGTGTCCAGGAGAGAGAGCTCAAGTCGGAGAGAGAGAGAGCTCGTGTCGTCAGAGGAAGTGTATAAAGAGAGAGACATGCACAAAGACATACAAAATGGACGCCCACTCGCGATCACCGTAGCAACGACCGATAGTGAAGCTATAAAAATGGTAAAAACAGGACATAAAACAATGTTAAAATGTTTTGAAATGAAAGAAAAATGTGTAGAATTGTGTGTGGGGTTTTGTTTAGCTGCTAAAGTTTTTATACATGGTTGAAAAAATATATACTTTCAAAATTAATATGTTTTTTTCAGTTCAATTGTGTGGTCTGTGGTGAAATGCATTGTGGTTGGATGGATGGAAGGCGGTGGCACTTCGTATGTTAATCTATTCTGTCGTATTTTGTAATAATCCAGATAGAAACCATATTATATTTAAAAAAAACCAATAATAAATACAATAAAATACATTAAAAAGTGAACGACTCTTGTACACATAGGCACTCACTGTCGCCGTTATCATAGACTGTGTATAGATGGACGATGCTAACATGCTAGCTCAAAGAAGCCCAATAGGAAAGAGCTCATGGATGAAGTTTGGCTCGGACTCACACTGGCTCCCATTGACTTACATGTAAAAGTAAAGTAAAGGTAAAGGTCTTAAAACTGTATTGCGATAATACCGTCGGAAGGAATGCCCATATAAGGGAATAGGCTCCAGCTAGCTTATGTTTAAATCACACTCGGTCAATCCACTCCTAATATACAGTCTATGATCGTTAGCAACACCTTCTGGAAATGTCATCAGTAGCACAAATGGAAAGTATCTTCACAAATTCACACTTTCACAAATTTAAATTACTTTTTACAGCCTCAGTCCTGGATCTACAGCCTCGGTCCTGGGTCTACAGCCTCGGTCCTGGGTCTACACAACCTCAGTCCTGGATCTACAGCCTCAGTCCTGGGTCTACAGCCTCGGTCCTGGGTCTACACAACCTCAGTCCTGGGTCTACAGCCTCGGTCCTGGGTCTACACAACCTCAGTCCTGGGTCTACAGCCTCGGTCCTGGGTCTACACAACCTCAGTCCTGGGTCTACAGCCTCGGTCCTGGGTCTACACAACCTCAGTCCTGGGTCTACAGCCTCAATCCTGGATCTACACAGCCTCAGTCCTGGGTCTTGAACATTCTTGAACAGTTCCTCCCGCTCCCTACGGACCAATGGCTCCTCTGTGTTTGTCATTATGGTAACGTCTGCGTTCAAACGGTTTGATTCTCTGATCTGTCATTGGTGAATCAACAACTTTGTAAAGTCCTCCCAGACGACTGCAGTTGCGATTTAGTCCGTATTGGAATTTTTTTTTTCCCCATTGTGCTAATGAAACATATCCAACGACACACCAATTGGTTTGGGCCCAATAACCTCAATCAACTCATAATAACTTAACAATAAAAGAATAAATAACAAATATAACTTATAAAAGCATCTCTCTTAGTCTCACACACACACACACACACACACACGCACACGCACACGCACACGCACACGCACACGCACACGCACACGCACACGCACACGCACACACACACACACACACACACACACGCACACGCACACGCACACACACGCACACACACACACACACACACACACACACACACACACACAGCCTGACTCTCCAAGGCACAGAGAGAGAGGTCACTCAGTCTTTTCCGTTTTGCCGTCCTTGTTCTGGTTGTCGGAGACTTTGCGGAGCTGTGACTTTTCCGAGCTGCTGCTGTTGATCTGCTCGCCGGGGTTGGATTGGCCGGTCTTCCCGCTGCCGGAGTTCTTGTCCAGGTAGTTCAACATCTCGCTGAGGACGGTCTGGAAGGTGCTGAGCGCGGCGCACACGGCTGGAGTCCCGAAACCGTGAGTGATAAGACTGTGGAGCGAAACAAGAGCAAGATTAAGCCAAAGTACAGAGAGTTCAGCCCACAGCCTGCAATAAGAAGGACAATGCTAACCTGCTAGCTTCATTGAGCTAGCGGGTTAGCATTGTAGGGAACTGCTCAACTTGGTATAAAATCTCTAACTTTAGCATAATAAAGAAGCAAGTATAAAATCTCTAACTTTAGCATAATAAAGAAGCTAGTATAAAATCTCTATCTTTATCATAATAAAGAAGCTAGTATAAAATATTTTTTAAAATTTTATAGTTTATGTGAATAGAGACATTAGCCAACAGTACTGTTAATGTGCCAGTGTTAGCTATGCCAATAATTTCTGAAATCCCTCAACAAGATCTATGATAACAGCTCCACTAAAAACACCACTTTATAAGGTTCAAAATCCGACAAGTAAAACTCCTTAACATCTGCTCTATTCTTACACAGCGTCTGTCGGTCTGTAAGGACTGGACTGAGTGGACTGGACTGAGTGGAGACTGTTGCAGAGAAACTAGCTCCAATCTCGAGCCAATTTTGCAGAAGCAGGAGGAGACGGCGCTCTACTTGTCATCGCTGCTTATGCACTCGCTAACGCATATTGTTCCCGGACTAAAAATACAGAAACAGCTGAATTCTGTGGCGCAGCAGCTGATGCCATAGATGTGACATTTCTATTAACAAGCCCGTGACAAAACCGACCACACGGCGACAAGCTCAGGGTAAAGTGGGTGTAGTTGTTAGCAAGACGGTTCCAGGTTTGATTCCCAGTGGGTCCTTTCTATTTTGATTGTTTGAAATCCTATCACCAAGCCATAGTTAGGTTTCAATCTCAATAAAATGCTATATCTCTTTACGTGGTGTGATCAAATTTGAGGTCAAGACTAACAAAATGGCTCCTAAACAGGCAGACACAGTGTTAGCCTTTGTGCGAAAAAGCCCGATTTGCACATTGTGAGCTAGCTGGAGCCATTTCTCCGTATGCATGAAGGGCATATTCACTTCACTTGGATGTGCCTCTAAAGCCTGTTTCTACCGGCCTCAAATCTACTCTACTCTAGTCCACTCCACCAGTAATCAGGGAAATTCCTTGGAAACCATGGCTTCCAGCAGCAGCCGAATAAAGCCAAATAAAGTAGAGTAGATTAGCGCTGGTGGAAATGGCGCTTAAATTTGACAATCCTAAATCTGCTTTGGTTGTAACAAGTAGTTTCAAGTAGTTTCATGTAGTAGCATGTAGTTACCTAAAGTGTGTGAGGTGTCTCTGGATGTCCAGGTCCAGGATGGGCGTGGGCCGCGAGGAGCCCAGAGGAGATCTGTCCTGACTCAACAAGTCCTGGAACTCCTTACAAATCTGCCTGAGAGAAAGAAACAGAGAGAGACAAGGATCAGTCTGTGTGCACGGCCGACTGAACAGCTGCAAGGTTTTCCTATCAGATCTCATGTGATAAAGGGCGTATGACGAATGTTAATTATGTATTTCAGTTCATTTGGATGGAGGTCCTGGATCTACAGTCGGTGGGAGCGGACTGTACTGTATGTGTGTGTTTTGTGCTTACTTTGTGCTTACTGTTGCAAGGTTTCTCACTTTTTCCCACTGGGTTTTTTAAGAGTTTTTCCTTGTGGATGCAGGAGGGTCTTGTTGGACAGTTAGTGTCCAACAGAAAGGATTGGTGATGATCAGGACACTTTAGCATTCTACAACATGTATGGACATTTTCTTCTGTGTGTGCTTTATATTCTTCATGTGTTTTAACTGTTGATTCTCTGACCTGTGTTGGTGATTTCAATGGTTTTGTTAAGTCCTCTGAGATGACTTCTGTTGTGACCTAGGGCTATACAAGAATAAATTGTGTATTGTATTGTATTACTGTATGTGTGTGTTTTGTGCTTACTTTGTGCTTACTGTATGTGTGTGTTTTGTGCTTACTTTGTGCTTACTGTATGTGTGTGTTTTGTGCTTACTTTGTGCTTACTGTATGTGTGTGTTTGGTGCTTACTTTGTGGCCAGGACCATCTTTTTGCGTGCGCTGGTCTCTTTCGGCTCGTTGTGTTGCCGCGCCAAGTGTTCGCCCACTGCTTTACTGGGGAATTCTGTCTCACACGTGTAGCCGAAGTCTCTCGCCAAGTGAAGCGCTTCCCCTGCCACACACAGATTCACATTGACACATTGGAATACCATAGAAGATTCCACATTCTAACACATGAAACAATAAAACAGTCTCAGAATAATATATAAGTGGATTCTTACCTTCCACTAACGACGTGAGCAGAGTGACGTTGGCAGCTTTCCTCCGTCCCGCCGGAAGGTTCAGCCCTAAACGATCCAACTTCTCTCTGAGACACCGGCCGCCATTTTTAGACTTTGCTCTGTGGAAACAAACACAAAAGTCATTAATGATAAAATGCTAATTATGACAGTCAGGCGGCGACAGTGTCTAAGGACATACATCAACATTTATGATTGTTTATTTACATTTATGGACTTTGGTCATTCACCTCTTCTGGACCAATGTCTGTGTGTTTTGTAGAATTGCATTTTCTGTGTTTGACCCGTTTGATTCTCTGAGCTGTTGTTGCTGAATCAACTTCTTCGTAAAGTCTTCCTTTAGGACTACACTAATCATAATAATAATAATACATTGGTTTTATTCAGCGCTTTTCAGGACACTCAAAGATGCTCCACATGCTTATTCTTTCACTCCAAACACAGTGCAGAGGGAGCCGTTCACACACATCAGACTCACTCTGATGTGGGGGAAGTGTCTTGCCTAAGGACACAACCACAGTTTGGCACTTCACAGCCGCAGCCGCCCCACTGTGGCTCCTAGAGTTCACAGAGGTCTCCCATCACAGTACTAACCAGACCCTGCCCTGCACAGCTTCAGAGGTCTGACAGGATGTGGCTTGCAGGTGTGGCCTCAATAATCAAGTAGTAATGGGATAAAAATGAATGAATGAAGAATGTCTTGCCCAAAGACACAATGGCAGTTTAGATCCATCCGTGTCCTGCTCATAAACCGTTATCGTCTCTTCACGTCGGACCTAAATGCTGTGTGTCTAATTAAAGTTATATAGATTTTTCAAAGCCATAAAATCAAACCAATTAAAGGATGTTGTGTTTTGAAGTCTTTTCCCCCTGAGCTCCGTCTTTACTGTCACTCGTCATGTTCCTGGTTCTGAACCCAAAATGACATGTGCTATTTTGGAAAACAGTCCGAAAAGTTATTTATGACATTTGTGAAATGTATTTGTTACTGCGTTGTTTTTGATCCTTCTGTAACAAGGACAAACATACGTAAGTGAAGAATAATGGTATTAATAATAATAATGAGGCATTGTTTTTTTGGATCCTCACTCAGTGTTAATCATCTCCTCCAGCTGCCCTGGGGCACTCTGACAGAAGTGAGGCAACTACTCTGTGCCATCGACCCCCTCCCACCACCAACCATTCACACCAGACTCATTCTAATGTGGGTGAAGTGTCTTGCCTAAGGACACAACAAAAGTTTATCGCAGCCTGTGCCACCTGGTGTTCCCAGAGGTCTCCCATCACAGTTCTAACTAGTCCCTGCCCTGCTTAGCTTCAGAGTAAAATGAGTATTGTTAATTGTATGTTTTCTTCTTTGATTTTTGTCATTGTTGTCTTGACACTATAGGACTCCTATTATTGTAAAACTGCTCGATCCTGAGATTAAAATCAACATCATTCTGAAAAAAGTTGTATTTAAGGTAAGTATTTTCTGATGTTTTTACCCTTAGTTTCTTTTAGTAAGTGCTAAAACATGTGAATATATAACTTTAGATAAAGCAAAAACCGTTTGTGCTAAGTGGCTAATGCTAATGCTAACAGTAAACATTGTGTTGCTATAGAAACCAGCACCAGGGCCACTCCAGGACCAGCATCTTGGAGATCCTGGTCCTTTACTATCGTCACTTCTTCTGTCACTTTAATAATCTGCCCTGCTGCATGTCTAATGTGTGATTCATGTCATTTATCTATTATTTACATTTCACATGTGTTTTTGACTATTTTTTATTTTCTTTAATTTAGTTTCAATCATTTTGATTCTGTAAATAATCATAAATTATACAATATTTAGCACATACTTGTTGTGTATTAGTGAAGGCTATAGTAAAGTGTGACCTAAATCTCTGTTGATAGTATTTTTCACAGGTCTTTGCGAATGCTAAGTGGCTAATGCTAACCCCCTCCACACTCTTCTACTTCTACAACAACATCAAACCAAACCTCACTATTTATATTCCTTTCTTCTCACAATGCGCCATATTCTCTGCTCCTCGTCCCACTTCCCCCTTCACCCTGCGTCTCATCAATAAAACAGATCTGGCAACCCGTGCGTTCCTGCTCTGCGTCTGATCTGGCTCGGCTTGGCTCGGCCTCTCCTCCCTCTGGCCCTCTAGGGTGATGGTGGCCTCCTTTTCCTCCAGTGCTTCTTTGGGTGGATCTGATTGGTCGATAGTCTGTGTTTTATCTTTCAGTAATGACACAGAGGCGGAAATAGTGACTGTTCCAAAAATATATGAAACATTATTATATTAGTATAATATATAATGTATATAAGTCTCTATGGCAGTTATGGCAAACTCAGGCCCGTGGGCCAAATCCGGCCCGCAAGACCTTTTTTAGAGTGCCCTGAAATGATTAGCAATTATGACTTACAGTGACTTATGGAATACTATGGAATGATATGCTTAATTGAATGCTTTTTGAATAAAAATGTGTGTATGTTTGTGTGTGTGTGTGTGTGTGTGTGTGTGTGTGTGTGTGTGTGTGTGTGTGCAGGGCTGACCTCCTCAGGATGCCCCCCAGCAGGGAGGCGTTGAGGCACTCTGGGGGGGACAGTCTCCTCTTGACCTCAGCGATGGTCACTTTGTATTTGGACGTGGAGCTGAGCAGAGACAGACGACCAGGGACCGAGCAGAACAGGTCTGTGGGGTTCACTACACACGTGCCTCCTGGGGGAGAGAGGAGGGAGGGGGGGGGAGAGGGGGGGGAGAGGGGGGGGAGGGGGGAGAGAGAGAGGGAGAGGGGGGGAGGGGGGGGGGGGAGAGGGGGGGGGGGGGGGGGGGAGAGGAGGGAGAGGGGGGGAGGGGGGGAGGGGGGAGAGAGGAGGGAGAGGGGGGGAGGGGGGGAGGGGGGAGAGGGGGGGGGGGGAGGGGGGGGAGAGAGGAGGGAGAGGGGGGGAGGGGGGGAGGGGGGAGAGAGGAGGGAGAGGGGGGGGGAGGGGGGGGGGGGGGGGAGAGGGGGGGGGGGGGGGGAGAGGGGGGGAGAGAGGAGGGAGAGAGAGATGGTTAATTCACTACACAGTGCCTCCTGGGGGAGAAAGGGGGGGAGTCGGGTGAGACGGGTGAGAGAGCTGTCTCTTATGTGTTTGTTGTCAGTGCATTTCCTGTGTTTGAACTGTTTGATTCTCTGATCTGTGTTGGAGAAACAACAACTTTGTAATCCCAAAAAATGTGATTTAGAGCAGCTCAAAAATACATTGAATTGAATCTTAAGTGTGACGGATCATGTGTGTGTTGTGTGTCTGCAGGAGGTGAGTGTGTTGTGTGTCTGCAGGAGGTGAGTGTGTCTGCAGGAGGTGAGTGTGTTGTGTGTCTGCAGGAGGTGAGTGTGTTGTGTGTCTGCAGGAGGTGAGTGTGTCTGCAGGAGGTGAGTGTGTTGTGTGTCTGCAGGAGGTGAGTGTGTCTGCAGGAGGTGTGAGTGTGTTGTGTGTCTGCAGGAGGTGAGTGTGTTATGTGTCTGCAGGAGGTGAGTGTGTTGTGTGTCTGCAGGAGGTGAGTGTGTCTGCAGGAGGTGAATGTGTTGTGTGTCTGCAGGAGGTGAGTGTGTTGTGTGTCCGCAGGAGGTGAGTGTGTTGTGTGTCTGCAGGAGGTGAGTGTGTTGTGTGTCTGCAGGAGGTGAGAGTGTTGTGTGTCTGCAGGAGGTGAGAGTGTTGTGTGTCTGCAGGAGGTGAGAGTGTTGTGTGTCTGCAGGAGGTGAAAGTGTCTGCAGGTGAGTGTGCCTCAGACTGGAGCCTCAGACCGGGGCCTCAGACCGGATCCTCAGACCGGAGCCTCAGACCGGAGCCTCAGACCGGAGCCTCAGACCGGAGCCTCAGACCGGGGCCTCAGACCGGAGCCTTAGACCGGAGCCTCAGACCGGAGCCTCAGACCGGGGCCTCAGACCGGAGCCTTAGACCGGAGCCTTAGACCGGAGCCTCAGACCGGAGCCTCAGACCGGAGCCTCAGACCGGAGCCTCAGACCGGAGCCTCAGACCGGAGCCTCAGACCGGAGCCTCAGACCGGGGCCTCAGACCGGAGCCTTAGACCGGAGCCTCAGACCGGAGCCTCAGACCGGAGCCTCAGACCGGAGCCTCAGACCGGAGCCTCAGACCGGAGCCTCAGACCGGAGCCTCAGACCGGAGCCTCAGACCGGAGCCTCAGACCGGAGCCTTAGACCGGAGCCTCAGACCGGGGCCTCAGACCGGAGCCTCAGACCGGACATTGGTCTATACGTGTTTTATATCTTATATTTCCAGTGTGAACTGTTGATTCTCTGATCTGTTGTCGGTGAATCGACAGATTTGTAAAGTCCTCTGAGAAAACTGTGATTCAGGACTTTACACAAACACATTGAATTAAGTTGAATATCATTATCTTTGGTCACAGCATGCAGGGAAATGTCAGTGTTGCACCACAGAACAGGAAAGAGGACACAGCACAGGATACATGAACAATATCCATCCATTTTCTTCCCCTTAAAGGCGCTATACCCGTTTCTGCAATGTTTGAATGTTTAGCACCGCCCCCCAGCTCGCTCACAGAGTTCTCATTTCCCCTACGCTCTCATAACACGGAGCCACCTAGTTTTATTTGCGATCTGATACGTATGCTAACATTAGCTTTAGCGTAACTTGTAAGCTGTGCAACAATCACTGATGAAATGGCACTAAAGCAATGCACTGCTAACACAATATATAAGTAAAAGAATACGTTTCGCATCCGGATGTATTAATTTAAACATTAGAATATATTCTAATATTTAATTATAATTTATTATACAGCTCCTCACAGCAGCAGCAGAACACTCCATTGACTTGAATGCAATTCTTCCGATCATTTTTTCTTGATAACAGAACTCTCAAACCAATAATGACCGCAGCCCCAATGCAATCTGTTTGTAATTCAGGTGTGTAAAATACTGCCATTACTCTGCAAGTACAACAAGCTATCAGCGCCTGTCACTACATTGTGCAGTTTTCTGCACACTTGTCTGTGTAGAGAAGCTAGCTGAGCTAGCCACGCTCAATAAACAAATACATATCAATCAACACCATTAAACGTCAATCGGACAATACAGTATACATATACATCCTTAACACACATGCACGGACGATTTCAGAATTTGCTGTCAACGTTTTCATGACAAAAATACTGTTTTAAAGTGACAAAAAGCGATCGCGAAAAACCCGGAAGTTACCATTAAACAGCTAGCTAGCTTAGCTGTTACCTGCCTAGCACGTCCTGGTGAAACCTTTGGGAGCTAACTATTTTATTTGCAGTCATTAAATACATTTCTAATTATAAGGGTTGTCTAATATTTGTTCAAATATGTATATATTTTTTATTTTAGAATTATATTCGAATTTTGAAGTCGAAGCCCTGGTGTTAAGCAGCGCTGTAGAGACTAGAGGACACAGGCTGTAGAGACTAGAGGACACAGGCTGTAGAGACTAGAGGACACAGGCTGTAGAGACTAGAGGACACAGGCTGTAGAGACTAGAGGACACAGGCTGTAGAGACTAGAGGACACAGGCTGTAGAGACTAGAGGACACAGGCTGTAGAGACTAGAGGACACAGGCTGTAGAGACTAGAGGACACAGGCTGTAGAGACTAGAGGACACAGGCTGTAGAGACTAGAGGACACAGGCTGTAGAGACTAGAGGACACAGGCTGTAGAGACTAGAGGACACAGGCTGTAGAGACTAGAGGACACAGGCTGTAGAGACTAGAGGACACAGGCTGTAGAGACTAGAGGACACAGGCTGTAGAGACTAGAGGACACAGGCTGTAGAGACTAGAGGACACAGGCTGTAGAGACTAGAGGACACAGGCTGTAGAGACTAGAGGACACAGGCTGTAGAGACTAGAGGACACAGGCTGTAGAGACTAGAGGACACAGGCTGTAGAGACTAGAGGACACAGGCTGTAGAGACTAGAGGACACAGGCTGTAGAGACTAGAGGACACAGGCTGTAGAGACTAGAGGACACAGGCTGTAGAGACTAGAGGACACAGGCTGTAGAGACTAGAGGACACAGGCTGTAGAGACTAGAGGACACAGGCTGTAGAGACTAGAGGACACAGGCTGTAGAGACTAGAGGACACAGGCTGTAGAGGCTAGAGGACACAGGCTGTAGAGACTAGAGGACACAGGCTGTAGAGACTAGAGGACACAGGCTGTAGAGACTAGAGGACACAGGCTGTAGAGGCTAGAGGACACAGGCTGTAGAGACTAGAGGACACAGGCTGTAGAGACTAGAGGACACAGGCTGTAGAGGCTAGAGGACACAGGCTGTAGAGACTAGAGGACGCAGGCTGTAGAGACTAGAGGACGCAGGCTGTTCGCTTCTTGTTCTGTGATTGGAGGAGAACGTCCCGCTCAGACTCTACTCAGCACTTTTCACTGCCTGAATTTCATACACAGTGGAATCAATGACCTCAAGTTTTCAATTAAATTATGTATTATGATACAACTTGTATGTAGTAAAAAGCATTTTTATGAACTACTTAGAAAAAAAATCGGGTATAGCTTCTTTAATCCATATCTGGGTCGGGGGGATGTCACGCAGTATAGCACCAGCCCCACACGAACAACACTAAAATCAAATTAAATCTCTTTAACTTTAGCATGATAATGACTCCTTTAGCTCTATGTCTGTGATACTGGGCTGTGATTGGTCAGGACCCCAGACTCAGGCCTGTGTCCCCCTATAACCCAGTTAGAGTCAGAGCATATAGGGAGGCGCACGTGCTCGGCCCCGGTCCGTCCGGTTGTGACGAAACCGGCTCCGGGCGCGTGCGGCTGTTGTCTGTCTGCCTCACGCGCCCTGACAGCGCGCGTGCCTCTCCAAAGCCGCGGGTTCACATCACATTAATTCCCCTAAAAATGTTTTGATTCAAAGTAGTTTGTATTTTATGTTGCCAAGGGCGATCGAAAAGAGCGATTGCCGTAGTGCAGTCAGAGGAGCGCGCGGGCCCAGAGGCGATAACGGTATTTAAGCACCGGAGATATGGCCTCGGGCGGCGGCGCGAGCGGCGGGCGGATCACACAACGAATCAAGCGCCTTTTACCAGTTTGCCATAAAAATTAAAGAAAAAGAGACACGGGCCAAATGTCATCTTCCTCATATTTTAACAACAATGTTTACAGAGCGCGCAGAGGAGGAGAAGAAGAAGAAGGAGACAGAGAAGCGCGCACACGCAGAGAGACGCATCTGTCGGGAACGCGCCTTGACTGATCTGTGAGACGCAGTGAGAGAGAGAGGGAGGGAGAGAGGGGGGGAGAAGGAGAGGGAGAGAGGCAGAAAGAGGGGGAGAAAAGGGGAAAGGGAGAGAGAGAGACGGAGAGAGCGAGACACAGAGAGAGAAGGAGAGGGAGAGAGGGAGAAAGAGACGGAGAGAGGGGGAGAAAAGGGGAAAGGGAGAGAGAGAGCGAGAGAGAGATGGAGAGAGAGAGAAAGAGAGAGAGAGAGAGAGAGACAGAGAGAGAGACAGAGAGAGAGCTAGATAGAGAGACAGAGAGAGAGATAGAGAGAGAGGGAGAGATTAAAACGCAGACTGCTCCTAAGTAGACTTCTCGTTTCTTGAGTGATTTTCTTTTGAAAGCGGCGGAGTGAATATTCATGGAGCCAAAGCCACAGTCAGAAAGAACAACATTAATATGATCTGTGCTGAATACGGGCCCGCGCCTCATTAGCATATCAAAGCGTGCGCCCGAGGCCAGAGAAGCTATCGATACACGAGCGGGAGGTAGAGCAAAGATTATTGGTTGTGATGGTTGCAGCGGCGGAGCTCAGGGCCAAATACGGAGCTCCATTAACCGAAAGTGATAGCACAGGGATCCCCGCGTCAATCTGAGAGAGAGAGAGAGGGGGGGGGGAGAGAGAGAGAGGAGAGAGCTGCGTCAATCTGAGAGAGAGAGGGGGGGGGGGGGGGGGGGGGGGGGGAGAGAGAGCCGCGCGTCAATCTAAGAGAGAGAGAGAGAGAGGGGGAGAGAGAGAGGAGAGAGCCGCGTTAATCTGAGAGAAAGAGAGAGAGAGGGGGGAGAGAGAGAGAGTGAGAGAGGAGAGACAGAGTGCCGCGTCAATCTGAGAGAAAGAGAGAGAGAGAGCCCCACGTCTATCTGAGAGAGAGAGAGAGAGAGACCCGCATCAATCTGAGAGAAAGAGAGAGCCCCGCGTCTATCTGAGAGAGAGACCAGAGAGAGAGAGAGTATCGCCTGAAAGACATTCTGCCTCTAAAGAGATCTTTGAATCTCGATGTTCCCAAATAAATAAAGTTTATACAAAAGTCCTGCTCCGACACAAAAGTATCTGTGTTTGTGAAGATTGTGAAAAACATACTTGTAATAATAATAATAATAATAATAATAATAATAATAATAATAATAATAATAATAATAATCTAATCCATGCCGGTGTCTTCAGATAAATCAGCAGATTACAGATATAACTAAAATCATCCCACTTACTGTGCATGTGATAAACCGCTAATAATATGAAATAATTGTATATTTATTTACTTTTTAATGCATTTTGATCTGTGTTTTTAAATTTCTCTTGTGAAGCCTTATACACAAACTATGCTATAAATGATTAATTGAAGGTATATTGAGCAATGAGTCGATATTAGGATTTACAATCTCACACACTTCTGAAATCAATACCATAAAGTTATTATTATTATTATTATTATTATTATTATTGTTATTATGTTCTGTGTTTGTGACGCAGGATCCTCATCTTTCTTGACTGTGACGGAGCCAGAGTCACTTCTGAAGCTCAGGGCTCCATCTCGAGTCTGTTTCTCGCGACATTTCTGACAAGATTCTCGCAACTGCAGAGTTTAAAACAAGAGAAACAAGCTTCTTCCAATTCTATGTGATTTTGTATCGCCCTAAATCAGATAAATTACAGGAAACGCAATAATAACAGACACAGAGGAGAGGGTTATGGGGTTATAATGTTCAGAACCCGCTCAGAAAGGACTCACACAGCAGCTTGAACCGATGCTGCTTTTTAAAATCCACAAAAAAATCTTGAAACTTTATATTTTTGACTGCCTGTGTTTCTTTTTCCTGTTTTCTGAGACCAGGCCACATCACAAACAAAAGCAGAAGTGGTTTAGAAAGAAAGGGTTTTGTCCTTGCGACTTTTAAGGTTCTTTTTGTTTGAT